AAAATACGGTTATTATTTTACTAACGTAGTTGTCTTTTTATGCTGTCGTATGCAGGTGTGCACCCATATAAATACGCAAGTTACTGCTGGATGATAATTCATAGCAATTATTTAATAAAATAATAAGGTCGAATAGTGTTRCTTTAGATGATTGATGTACGATTTTTGMTGATAATTACAACATAGTTTTAAAAAACAAATAAGACGCATTTTATACGTGATTAAACAACAACCGAATTTTGGAATATCGTATTTATTAGGTATATATCGGTTATTTTTTTAGTAGTTTGAAATTATCGTATTCAGGTAGAACACAATTTCATACACAATTTAAACTTTAAATATACAGGATATTGATCACGATACAAAAATATACACCACTACAAGATACTGAGGAAAACTTCACTTCTCTGAACTTTATTTTAACCTACGAGACCTATAATAGTACAAGTGTTATAGAATATCGGTTAATGTTTTTGTTTTGATACTATAATCGTGACAATTATGTTAATAATTCTCGAGACAGTAGAGTTGTAACTATGATATAATATAACTATATTATAACCTAGGTATTTTTTTTTGAATTAATACTTTTTATCTAATATCTTAGTTTAATATTATATACTTAATAAGTATTACTTATATATTATATATATATATATATATATATATTATAATCAAGGTTTTTGCAAAAAAATCAAAAGATACTTCAAAATTATTTATTTTACTTAGTTTAGTAATCACTTATTAATACATACATACTTTACATTTATAATATACTAGAAACAAGAGTGATGTTAATGGCATATMTTATTTGTCAGAAATATCTGGGGGATGAAAAAAATCTGATAATTCCTCATGCCCTATCATTTAAAAAACACTGGYGTAAGGATCTTTAAATCACCATTTGCAAATTTAATTTATAGGAGGTTAAATGATTGGATAGAATCCCTCCTAACAAATCTATGTACGAGGCAATAAAAAGACGCAAACAATAAAATGCATACAGTCAGAAAAYAATAAAACATTATATTGTCATTAGTAGATATTCTAATAAAAATGTTTCTTAATATTCTATAGTATYTAAAAAAATAAATAACTAAAATCATATTGGACACACCAAAGAAAATAAATATTAGATATATTATTTAGCCATCTACTAATGCAAAATATGGATATTTTCTAGTTAGTTGTTGTCCACCTAAAGTGTTTTGAAATTAAATAATTTACGTGAGAATAGCTACAGGACCTATTTATTATGTAATATATGCACAAAAATATGTCATATGATATATGAAGATTAAAAAAGAATCAAATTATGGTGTCCGATGTTATAACCCAAATGATAACCTACTTTTCATTATTTTTTTAATCTCAGGTATAAGTAATTTTCAAGCTTTAAATATAAAAGTTACAAAAACTAAAAATAACACAGTTATTTATTTTTTATTGTTATTCCTCGTGTTATGGATGTGCACTTAGCGACTCCGTAACAAATAAAAAATAACGAGACGAAATTACTTTGGCTCAAAATTATATTCTTTATTTAATTGTTATAATGTTTTAAAATGAATACTCTGAAAATGGTCTGTAATGGTAATGCGTTACTCAAAGACTGACTGCTACGCGTGTGTGAGTCTCCGCATACGAGCTGGTCGTCCGTTCAAAAGGGTTTATTCAGCAAATTCCTTAGACCAGTCGTATGGAGAGGGAGTCCTACACACGTATCAGTTTACAATATGTTTAATTATTTTACAGCTAAATACATTAATACTAAAACGCATATAGAATAATGTTACAAACAGTATTCAGTGGTTGTTAACACTCGTTAGTAGTGGCTAACCTTGTATTGATGGATACCCTCTGGTCGGTGTAGTTATTTCATCATAAGGCTAATATCTACCTATAAGTCATAAGCATAATATAAAGATATATCCCCCTCATCTGGATAAATAGTACCTCGAAACAAGCTCTTACGCTGGAATCTGTCCAAAAAAATTGTTTACATTTTATCTCATTTAAATTTAACATAAACAGACCTACCCACGGCACATATAATAATGTTTTAAATTTTCTTAATATTTCTCTACTCTCTGACCGTCGTACACTTTTACTCTCAAAATTTTTACAAAAATTAATATTAGGTTCAATAGATTGTCCTGAAATTCTCTCTTTAATCCGTTTTAAAGTTAATTAACTTAATACTAGAGATCCAAAACCCTTTTATCCACTTCTTTCAACAAAAAAT